AAACAGCGCGTAGAACGTTCGACGAACAGAGACGAAAAATCAATTCAAGGAGTGCACTCGTCACCGGACAAATACGAAAAGGTATGCCCATCAATATTTTTTGGAGCAGAGAGGTAAGTGAGATTCAAAATTCTTCGATACAGCTAGAGACCTCTTGACTCTTTTTATATGATATGTTTGAATCGGAGTAAAAGTCAAACTCGATCGATTTCTATGATCCGTGAAATGTTTCATGCAAAAATTACCAAAAATAGAGCACAGTCTACTGAAATGAACCAGTCGAGCAAAATGAAATAGCTGTAAAACCCCTATTTTACGCATTTGAAACAACTTTCATTCAATTGTTAGGAGTACTGATGAGAATAATAGGGGTGCGCAATGCCAACTCGTGAGGTTCGGAACGTTTGGGTCTACAATTGTCTTGGGAATTTATTCGGTTCTATATTTAACCCATCTCAATATCCTGTCCAACTGATTTTTTAGTTCCTTCAACCATTCATCGTTCATCAATTTTGGGAAATTCGTCTTAACCTTTAACCTTTTGATTGCGATTGTCGAGTATAGTGTCAAAATATCTAAACAATCAATAGCCATTGTTTTATTTCATTTTTCAATTAAGAATTATAAGAAATGTTTCTAAAAAACCTATTCTTTAGAGATTTGTCGAATGTAGTTAACTTTGTGAAGAACTACAAATTTGAAAATTAACGTAATTTCCAGCAACTATTATTTAAAGTTTAACAATCTTTTCACCCAGAAGAATTTGTCAAAGGTCACAGTTAAGATTGTCGAGACTTAAATTTAAAAGAATTATTAAATCGATAATTTTTAATTTTTTTCTGTAAAAGCGAAGGAAATTGCTGTTATAATTTTTTCTAATAGCAACATCAAAACCTCGAAAATCGCACCTAACAGATCGTAAAAACGAAACTTGAAAAATTGATGAACGTCGAACGGCTACAAGTATCGAAGTATCCTTTGAATATAATTCAGTTAAGAGGCCGTCTATAAAAACGTATGATTTTCATTCATTTTTTATCTCCCCCCCCCCCCCTTCCCCGTAACAAACCTTGAAATCCTTCCCACCTCCCTTCCCTTCACAAGCCCTTACGCAAAAGCAGACCAGGGGCGTTGAATACCGATTGTTCATCTGTAAATGGTAAAAGGTAATTCATAATACCTTTTTTAAATCGACTACTGTTTATTTCAAAAGTATAGTCCACAAACTTCGGAGAATTGTATTCTCATAAAAAAAAAAATATCACACACATATGGAACCGATTGCAATGCCTGAGCTATTACTTCCATCTAATACGGAGAGTTATTCATTTTCAAGTCATAATCTCCGCGTAATCATGATTGAAACATGAAATAACCTATGTTTTCCGAGTCCCGAAAAATTATATGGACTTTAAAAGCGACCCAAGAACATAAACTTTCTCCAAAAATGATGTCAATTTTTTATATCATAGCTCAAATATTTGAAAAGCGGGTTGTGAAGAAAAAACAAGCAGTGTGACGGTAGCCAATCGACAGTTCACTCATGACTGTTACCTTTTCCTGAAATTTTACTCTTCAGTTTCAGTTCCTACCAATTTCATTGGTAGTATGCTTCCGAATGGGACCCAATCCATGTTACTTAGAAATCAATGCTTATTGGTCTGTATTTTTGAAAATGTTATGGATAACAATACTCAAATTTCATTACCTTTTGATGTACCATAGACTCTGCCCCATTACGTATGTACATTTTACCCATGACAATAGAGAAGCCGTAAAATTTTTTAATTCAGTGGAATAATATTGTACATTGAGGGCGGAGTTATCATTTTCAAAAATTATAATTATGACCCTTGCTTGGAAATGATGTAGAATGGTCTGAAACGGAAAAATACAAAGTTTGACGAGCATGTCTGTATGTGAACACGTCCACTGCCACCGGCCCGTCGGTTAACTTTTAGAAATTTGAGTAATAAGCTGACTATAGTACATTGTTCAACTAGGGAGTAAAAGTATTTTCTGACGAATGTGACGTTATAACCCGAGCCGAAGGCGAGGGTTATAATCACATCGAGTCAGAAAATACTTTTACTTCCGTATTGAACACCAAATTTTCTTCCACGAAGCGAGGAAAGGATTTAACCGAGCGAAGCGAGGTTAGAATCGCACTTCCCTCACTGAGTGGAGTAAAATCAATTAGGGTCCTATTCCGTTTGATTTCGGAGCATATTTCGTCCTATAAAAAGAGTCGCAGAATGGGTTTTCAGCTTAAGGTTGTTGTCGCGAGAGAGTGACACTTGAAATTTTCGACGCTTTAGGCCAATATCCCGCTGAACGTAGGAGCCGGATTAGAACAGAAACTTTTGCTGATGTACAGTTCACGCACCCATGAATTTGTCATGCATGAATAGGTGCGCACACGGCTAACGTCAATGCACTGTGCGCACGCAGCGAATCCGACGAATACTATTGGTTGTGTCATGCGCGCCGTGCACACTGAACTCATTTGTCCCGCCCATCCGAGATGAAAAAACTAACTTTCAACAATAATTTATCTAATATGAAACTTACAATCAGTCTCATTTTTTTTACAATATTGGTGACTACTATCCCTATCACTGTGTATTTTTTAATCGCAAAATGTCGAGCGGTTTTGAAAAAAAAATTCAAAACGGCAAATTGCATTTGTTTGCATGTTAACTTCAATAAATAATATCTCCGGTTAGAAACTTCCAATGACAATTTTTATGGGCTCATGTTGAAGCTAATTTTTACAGCTATCTATGATAAAAAATTTTACAACAAGTGTCGAAAAAACAGTCTATTCGACAACAACCTTAACGAAGACTAAAATCTCACCGATGTGCCGTGGGGTATAAGTTTTGATGTCTTCTAGTGTTTATTAATTATTTGAACAGATTGCAGACCATGAGAGCGAAGATAGAGCACCACCGATTCGGAAGGCTAGTGATAAGCCCCTTCGAGAAGATGATGACTTTGAAACGCTGGCGACGGCACTCTTAGCGCCAAGGAAACCTCAAAACCGGCCCAAGAATACGCAACGAAAAGTAGGTTATAATTTTTACATTTAACCATTATACAATGGTGCTCGTGATGAGGAGATCCCGCAAAAACATAATACAAAATGAATGCACATTCCATGGATGTGTAATGAAAGCCAATTTATCCCCTATGAATCTTCATACTCGTTAAAAAAATCAGGCCAGAAATTACTAAAAAGTATTGGAAGTTTTACTCATACATGGTGTTGTAAATTTACTACATAGCGTTGTACTACATTTCCTAGGGATTTTTCTACATCAATATTGGAATTTTCAATGATAGGAATATATGAATTTTACAATACATATGTAGTAAAATTCCGGACGTTATTGTAATTTTAATTTCGACAAAAAAAATTGTTTATCTAGTTACTCGCTGTCTTAACAACTTTTATTTATGCTTTCTTGGTAATAACCATCGAATTCCTACCTGAAAACCCTATTTACCGAAATTAAAATACCTGACGCGAAGGGGACTTGAACCTACGATCTACCTAAATCTACCTAACACGCTACCGCTGAGCTTTTTTTTTAACTTCCCGACCCGAAGGGAGGAAGTTATTGTAATGACCCCTAAAATGAAAAGTGCTATTGGCACGTTGTACACAAGCTCTGAGTGTTCCAAAATCCGTCCCAGACTTTTTTAGAAAGATGTTTGTGTGTGTGTGTGTGTGTGATCAAAATTTTGGCGAACGTTTTCTGATGAACCACTGAAGCGATTTAAACTTTTTTTTTTTAATCGACGCGTTTTGCCCGTGTCCAAATCGGAAAGGAGTTTGAACGTGATCGCTCCAGCGGTTTGGTAGTTATTCGGTTAAAACTTGTAAAAAAGTTGAAAAAACTGACTTTTTTCGGCTAATTCTGCGAATTCTTGCGGGGAAATGACGGATTTTTTTTTCAATCGACGCGTTTTGACCATTTCAAGGCCGGAAAGGAGTTTAAGCATGATCGCTCCCCCTGTTCAGTAGTTATTCGGTTGAAACTTGTGAAAAAATCGGAAAAACTGACTTTTTTCGACACATTTTGAGGATTCTTGTGGAGAAATGAAACCATTCCAAAATCGACGTGTACTAGTCAATAGGATTGTGTGTAAAACACAACTCAAATAAGTTTTAACGGAATTGTCTCAGTGGTTGCTGTGATATTGCTACTGAAAGGAAAGATGATTTCAACAAAAGAAAGAATTCAAAAAATTCAACAAAATTCAATTCAATTCAACAAAAAAAAAGAAAGAATTGAAAAAAAAACAGAAAGTTAAATATTGGCGAATGAACCCGAACTTTCGAGCAGTAAACGATATTCGAAGATAAGAAATTCTCCTTTGTCAACGAAATTTTCGAAATGAGGAACCGATAATTGGANATTGAAAATTAACACAGAAAACTGCAACTTGAAGCACTGGCTTAAAAGGGTAAGGATTAATTTTTGGGATCTTCTAGGAAATCCTCTAGAAAATGCTATAGGATATTCCATCGGAAATCCTATGGGATTATTTCATAAGTGTGTGGAATCGACACGTGACTGAAACTCGTCATTCACGTTAAAGCTGTTGGCACATAGGATAAAACCCTCGAACCTTGAAAATCCATATAAATGTTACAATGCTAACAAAAAAATGAGTAGACATCGACGTATGATGGAGTTAAATACATAGTCTAGAGATTCATTCTGGAATCCTATTAGAACACTAGTGAAAAAATCTCGACGGCTTTTGTGCCATTTCTATTGGAAATAATTAATAAGAAAGTAAATTGATTTTTTTCTCTATTAACATTTTCAAGTGTGAATTTGTCAAGATTCCTCCCCTCTATGCCCATTCGTATATCATAATAAAATCTCAGAAAAAAAACTCAGCAAATTCATCACGTACGGACATTTTTAATAGAAAACCCTCAAGAATTCTATAGGATTTTCTATAGAGTTTCCATAGGATTTCTAAAGAAATCTTCTATACGTTTATTGCCGTTTCTATAGACGCGTTTGATGGCAAATATCATAGTTTTTCTGTAGAATTTTTTCTGGTCGAATTTTCTAAGTTCTTTCATTCGATTTTCTTGAAGAAAAGAAAATAAAATTGACTGAAAAAACTTATAAAATTGAAGCCGGAAAAATTGTATGGAAAGAAAATTCTATTCAATTTTTCTATATAATGTTTCTTATCAAACATGCCAATAGAAACGCAGAAAACGTATAGACAATTCAAGAATTTCTATAGAAATCCCTATAGAATTCTTTAGGGTTTTCTATTGAAAAATTTCATGGGTGATCACTCGTCCTCGAAATAGAAAATAGAAAACTAGAATAGAATGGCAAAAAACTTCTAGAAAATCCATTGGAATATATATAAGTTTCTAGAGAATTTGCTACGATTTACTATCAAATTCTCCAGGCGTGGAATGAATGACTTGTTTTTTCTTCCAAAAAAACTAACATTTCTCGTAATTGTTACGAGAAAATGATGGAAAAATCTTTTTTTCGGCCTGTAAAATATTTAATAAGAAATGTGTAAATTAAAGAAAACAAGCAGTTGATCGACCCTATTCGACAGAAGACTTTTGACATCTCTCCATGTATCGATTTCTTTTTTTTATAAATTTTATTTCTACCAATTTCATTAGTAGTCAGCTTCTGAATGTCTCCTTAGTAATTCCATTAAAATTTATAGTTCAACATAATTTTGAAGGAAAAAGAAAAGTGGAAATATCTCGAAAACTTGGTGCCGATCACTATTATATAGGTATTGATTAATCTAAATAGAGGCCATTGAGGCCAACATTTTGAATTAAAAAACAAGCAGGCGACCGACGCTAATCGACAGAAGATATTTGACCGTTACTTTGTCTACTAGTTACATTCTTTTCTTTAATTTCTACCAATTACATTGGTAGTAGGCTTCCGAAGGGAAGCATGCCGGAAAATAAACGTGACGGTTTGTGACTTCCGCCAAATTCCAAGATTTCTATTCACAAATGAAAATTATGGTAATTGGAAAAGAACGAGAAAAACTGAAAAACGTAAATATCTCAAAAACTTTAAACGGAAGGGTATATATATTTTGATTGATCTAGATAGCAGTCGCTGAGACAAGTATTTAAAAAAAAAAAAATTTAATCCGTCCAGTAGTTATCGAGATATTTGACAAAATAGATGGTCACTAAAAGTTGAATATCTCGCGAACCACTCGGCCGATTTTCCCCATCTGAAATACGAACCGTCTATATCACAAATGCTAGCAGCGTACAAGGTTTTCAGTGGAAAAACGAATAAACGGCTATATCTCTAAACTCTGTATGGGTAATATATATGCTATGAGTGGCTTAGATAAAAGGCATTGAGACGAATATTTTTAAAAAAATAGATACAGATCAAAAACGAAATAGAAACAAGTGGTTATATCTCGAGAACTACTGAACCGATCGAGCTGAAATGAAACACCATAATGGGGCTCATTGATGGCTATCATGACACAAAATTTCAGATTTTTAGCTCCGAATTTATGTTCAATTTTCTCAAAATAAAACCCGAAAAACGCGAATTTGCACATACACACATACAGACATGACCTTAAAAACATCATTTCTTCACGTTTCATGATGTCTTGGACCATTTGCAATCAAAATTAGAAAATCGAAAAATCGACCAAAAACAATACTTCCCTTCGGAAGCAAAAAAAAAGTTAAATCGGCGGACTCATTTTCAAGATATGGTACGTAATTGATTGTCCCAAAAAACGCATATCTCCGGAACTACTGGGCCGATTGAGCCCAGATAAAATACGAACCATCCCTATCACAAAACGAGAATTTTGTCGAAATTTCATATTGATATTTCCATTTTTACTAAAGCTAGAGACCGTACAACGATTTTTGAAAAAAAAAAAATTAGAAAAGTGGAAATATCTCGGAAACTTTGTACCGACGGCTATATAGGTTTTGATCGATTTAGATATACACTGTCTTCCAGAAGATTATCCGTGGATTTTTGGAGTGGGGGACAAGCATATGAGTGGGAATGACGTGGGGGTACATTGGGAAGTGAAAACTTCTACTAGAAGGCCTATAGAGGCCATCGAGGTGAATATTTTGAAAAAAAAAAATTGAATCGGCCCACTCATTTTCATGATGTGGCACCTGTTTGATTGTCACAAAAATCGAATATCTCCAGAACTACTCCGCCGATTGAGCCCAGATGAAATACTGACCGTTCCTATCACAAAACGAAAATTTTGTCGAAATTTCATATTGATATTTCCATTTTTGCTAAAGCTAGAGACCGTACAACGATTTTTGAAAAAAAANAAAAAAAAAAAAAAAAAAAAATCAGAAAAGTGGAAATATCTTGGAAACTTTGTACCGACGGCTATATAGGTTTTGATTGATCTAGATAGAGGTCATCGAGACAACCATTTTGAAAAAAAGGGGAATTGGTCGGGAAGTTATTGGTCTGACCCGTAATGGGTCACACCCACTTCAACTCACCCACACAGTGAGCGAGTGAAGCGAGCGAACAACAACCCAGACGAACTGCAACCCACCCACAAAGTGAGCGAGCGAACAACAACCCGGTCCAATTTTTTTTTTTTAACCATGTTTTTTATTTATGTTTCTACAAAAGTTATTTACATTATTTACATATATTTACATTCAAAAAACAGGTATATGAAAAAATTAGCCTATGTTAAGTGGAGATAGCAGAAGAATGGTTACTTCGTAACACTCGCCCTCTATTTATTATTTGGGTTTGGTCGGTAAATTTATTTTTTGTTTTTACAAGTTTACACCTTGGTAATTTTTAGGTGGCTTTTGTATGTTGGGTAATCTGCGCTTGAAAATGAAAAAAAAAAATTTAAAAAGAAAAGAAGAAAATTTTTATACGTTTCATTTGTATCGATTATGGTAATCATTGGGGAAAAAAAACAAGCGCACTTAAATATTTTGAAACCTAACACGCTACCGCTGAGCTATCACGGAGTTCTTATTGAACAAAATTCAAAACGTTGATTTAAACCACAACTTCATATCTTTCATTGACTATGATTTTTCAGAGCCAAATCGAAATTGTCGGTGTTATCGAGAATTTTTTCAATAAAATATTACATGGTTGTTTAACGTATTTCACTATCCTTAATACAATGTGGGTGATCTGTCGATTCTTTGTACAAAAAATTATCACTTGTACCACGGGGGATTTTTCTGCAAAACTTGGGTCACTGGGGGTCATAGGGCCACGAGGGGGATGGTCAAGTATCACGAGGGTCATTTGCAGAAGAGTCACGAGGGTCACTTGGGGGTCGGTACAACGTGACAAGGGTTACTAGGAGGATGTTCAAGTATTACTAGGGACATTTGGGGAAGAGTCATTCATCACGAGGGTTACTAAGGGGTAAGTTGAACGTACGAGGGTCACTTGGGGGATGGTTAAGTATCACGAGGGTCTTTTAGAAGATGTTCAAACCTGACGAGGGTCATTTGGAGGAGAGTCATCTGTCACGGGGGTTACCAGGAGGATCGTCAAGTATCTCGAGGGTCATTTGTCAGTCACTTGAGGGATAGGGAAGTACCACGAAGGTCATTCGGGGAAGGTAATTCCTTCCGAGGGTCACTAGAGGGTCGATGAAATGAGGACGAAATAGGTATTTCTTGATTCATATGATTCACGAGACTCACGAAGGCCACGAGGGGGAAATTAAATTTCACGAGGGTCAAACGTCACGAGGCTCACGAGGGCCATGAGGGGATAATTAAATTTCACGAGAATCAGACTTCACGAGGATCAAACGCACGAGGGTCACGAGGATCTCGAGGAGAAAATTAAATTTCAGGAGGATCAAACGTCACGAGGATCACGAGGGGAAAGTCAAATTTCACAAAGATCAAACATTACGAGGCTCACGAGGGCCACAAGGGGAAAGTCGAACTTCACAAGGATCAAACGTCATGAGGCGTTTGAAATTTAGTTTTCCCCTCGTGGCCCTCGTGAGCCTCGTGACGTTTAATCCTAGCGAAATTTAATTTTCTCCTAGTGGCCCTCGTGAGCCTCGAGACGTTTGACCCTCATGAAATTCAATTTTCCCCTCGTGGCTCTTGTGACATTTCATCCTCGTGAATTTAATGTTCCTCTTGAGAGCCTCGTGTCGTTTCATTCTCGTGAAACACCATATTTCCCTTGTGGCCCTCCTGAGCCTCGTGATGTTTATTGCTCGTAATATAATTTTCTCCGTGGCCCTCATGAGCCTCATGGTGTTTGACCATCGTGGAATTTCGTTTTCCCCTTTTGAGCCCTCGTGGGTCCATTATTTCAACTCTCCTAATTGTAAAAAATTGATGTCAAATAAATGGTATAATGAATGTAAAATACTAGGTATTTTACTGAACGTATTTTACGTGCCCGCAACCCTGCGCGGCAGACGTTTGGGGGGTCATGTTCAATTGACCCTCTAGTGATCCTTGTCAGGAATGACCCTCCCCAAATGACCCTCGTGGTACTTGCCCATCCCCCAAGTGACCCTTTCCCTGATTGACTGACCGCTTAGTAACCCTTGTAACGGATGACTCTCCTCCAATAAAAGAAGGTATCGGTAATTAAAGAAGTCCATAAAATGTCCTATTTTGCTCCACACTCCCCGAGGTTCTACTCGAAATTTTTCAACTGTTCGGAAAAAAATTCTGATCTTTATGTATCAATTTTACGAAATAACGGTATTTTTGTAAAAATACTGTGCATGTATGGTATTATTACTACGGTGTATAATAATATTGCAAATTATGCTGTAAAATTACTACACATAATGGATTCTAATACGAGTTCTGAATTCTACTAGCTCTGTTTCTGAAATTTCCAATATGATATAGTAAAATTACTATATTTCTGTTGGATTATTCGGGAGAATCTATTGTAAACTGGGATTTGAGTACTAAAAAAGGATTTTTACTACATTTCAGTGCAGTAAAAGTGTTGTAAATTTACAAACTTTTTTAACAGTGATCCCTCTGCGGTACTCCCTTAGAGCTATTGAGTATAATTGTCAAATACCCCCTTTCGTTCACCAATCCATTCCAAATTCATTTACTATTATCGTCAAAGAAATTTTTCTTACCAGATATGTAGAATAAACTCAGAATACACTCCCTCCTATGCAAAAATGAAGACTACCATGAAATTCCCTGACACCTCTTTCATTCCTCCCTTTTTCATTTTGGAAATTATAGCCAATGATGTCGTCCTTGATAGGTACAAACGTTCACGAAGAGTATAAGTTAGAGAAATTACTGCTGAAGAATGTAGTCGACTCGAACTTTAGTTTTTAAGGTCCTATTAACCCCTCAGGTACGGGGTCCATATACGTATATGGATCTCCGACTCTGTCTCACACGCCGAGGTCCATATACGTATATGAACCCTCGCCGCGCGAAACAAATTGGAATAGTACGCAACAAGGGCGGTATGGATTTTTTCGATCGTGGGAAGTTTGTAAAACAAGTCGAAGATGAGTTGTATAATCCCATCATTGAAAAAACACCATAACGCAGGAATTTCGTATAGTATTTTATATCATTGGGCCGAGAATCCGCTTTTCTACCGAGCGAAGTGAGGTTAGAATCGCGTGCTTCTGGGTACCCGGGACATGAAAATTCATCATCATCCGTAATATTCAAAATATCATCATTCTGTAAAAACAATCGTTGAGGTGAATTGACTACCGTCAACGAGATATGTGGCCACCCATATGAAAAGGGCCCTTGTTGCGGATCTTAGTTTTCGAGATATTCACGATTTTGTGTCCGTAACTTCCATTTAACCCATTGAACAGACTCACAGTACCCCACTTTTCGCAATTTTGTGGTAGTGTGCGTGCGCCAGAGGGTCTTGCTTATGGCGCACTAATACATACAGGGCCTCCCTACTCTTCTCACATTGATACTTTTCGTGGCTTACGCTGTTCAATGGGTTAAACCATTGTTAAAATATTCTTTCAATCTTAGATTTCAATGAATATCTCGAAATCTATAGTAGATAGCAAATTTTGGACAGATCGTTTTTCATTAGAGTGAATTGACTGCTATGAGGAAGATCTACAAAAATGACCTATCTTCCTCGTATTCTGAAAAATTATTCACCAAAAACTTAAGGAAAAGCTATGTTGACATCAATTGTTTCACTGCTTTGCAACTTCATTGCGACTGTTTCCTCCGTATACCCTTCGCTTTCTCTTACTTCGACGATGCTTCTCATACTTGTGATAAATCCACCATGAATCTTGTCATAGGAAAAAAAGAATGACGGTCCATGGTGCCCTAGGGAGCCATTTTGCCCTCCTCTTCCCTATATCCGGACATGAATGTCGGTTATGTTGGTCAAAAATGTTATATGCCAGATATATGCTAGACATGAATGTCCACATATATCGATGCAAAACATTTAACACATACCGAAAATATATCTCCGATATACACGGTGTCCTCAAACTCATGATCAATATTGTAAGGGTAGATTTAGGGAATTTTTCGGAGATGAACAGTCTAATAAAGTTTTGGTCTCTGACGTATTGTTCACGAGTGATTCGATTAATACGTAAGCAACTCAAAAGCTTTTCTGCAATACAGAAATCACTTAGCCTTCCACATTTGAGGTGGGGCTATGATTGCACTGGAAGTCCAATTGATCGCAATTGAGATACAATCAATGTAGAGATATGGATTTTTCAAGTCTCTCTTGCCGGAGAAAAAAGCTTGCTAGACTTTTTGTCTTCAAATTAAACTCACAATTGGTTAATGCACACTCATTTTTGCTTAAGGAAATTAACCCACTATTCTTGCACGACCAAGTAAAATGTTGTAACTATTTCTGTCATGAGTCTGAACAAAATCTGGCTATTATTATGATTATTCATACCATACTAATTAACATTTCAGGTCACACAAACCACAAAAAGGAGCAATAGACAATCCAGAATCTCAGAAGAAATGCGGTCAAGAGCAGATTTAATGCAGGAGGTACGTGAATCGCGCTTTCTATTACACAGAGAAAACTGAATGGTAGAGATTACTTTCATATAGGAGACATTACCATAAAACATGGTAAATGGTTTTTCGACTTGACTTTTATGGTAATTTTTACCATGTTGACTAGTAAAAATTACTTAGCACTATGGTGATCACTACACTGAGAGAAATATTCATAGTCAATTTTACGATGAGGGAATTGTCAAAGTCACCACAGGAGCTATAGTTACTTTTACTATGAGAAATGATCGATTCAACCATATCGCTCATGGCTGAATGACTCAATGAATATTTGGAGGTTATTATCCCTTCGAAATTAGGCGCGTTACTGAAAATTGTTAAACTATAAGAATTTCAGATTTTTCAGATGAATAAATCTGCTATAGTTTCAATTTACTAGAGGTAAAGTGGGTATTTCGTGAAGTTTTACGATTTAATGAGGGTAAAATGTGTATGCCGGGAACTTTTACGATTTGATAAGGGGGAAAATTGGTATATCGTGGACTTTTCCGATTTGATGGGGGCAAAATGAGTATTTCTGCAACTCGTACGATTTCATCGGGGCAAAACGGGTATTTCGGAAACTTTTGCGATTTAGTGGGGGCAACATGGGTATTTCGTCAACTTTTACGATTTGGTGGAGGCAAAATGGGTATTTCTTCAAATCGTACGATTTCATGGGGCAAAATAGGTATTCCGATAACTTTTGCGATTTAGTAGGGGCAAAATGGGTATTCTGGTAACTCGTACAATTTGATGGGGACAAAATGGGTATATCGTAAACTCGCACGATTTGATGGGGGCAAAATGGGTGTTTCTTTGAATTGTACGATTCCTGGGGGCAAAATGGGTATTCCGTGAACTTTCACGATTTGATGAGGACAAAATGGGTTTTCTTTAACTCGTACGATTTCATGGGGGCAAAAGGGGTATTTCTTTAACTCGTACGATTTCATGGGGGCAAAATGGGAATTTTGTCAGCTCGTACGATTTGATGGGAGCAGAATGGGTATTTCTGCAAATAATACGATTTGCTGGAGGCAAAATGGGTATATTCCAGTGATGCCAGTTGGGGGAATAAATCCCACGCATGGGAATTTCGTGCGCAGCTTTATCGCGCACTCCCGAGGTCCCCACTACGAGGTCGCCGCAGAGCGCGTAGATAAGGCCCAGCGCATTTATTTTCGGAAATAATCTTCCAAATCGAGAAGGAATAGATATGCTTAACAACAATGAATTACATTAGTGCAATATTCAAGAGGTTTAGGCGTAAACGCCAGAAATTAAGATAAGAACAAGAGGAAAACTAGGGTTCCCAGGGTCAAGAGAGAACCAAAGGCCGCGAGGGAAACGAGGGCCAAAAGGGAAACCAGGGCTAGGAGGAAAATCAGGAAAATGAGAGCCAAGAGAGAAACCAGGACTACGAGGGAAACCAGGCAAACGAGGGCCGAGCAGAAGTCTAGGGCTACGGAGTAAACGAGGGTGGAGCGAGAAACCAGGGCTACGAGAGAAATGAGGGTCGAGAGGGAAACGAGGGCCAAGCGAGTAACTAGACCTACGAAAGCCAAGCAGAAAACTAGGGCTGCGAAAGAAACAAGGGTCAAGTGGGAAACCAGAGCTAAGAGCGAAACGAGAATCAAGGGGGAAAAGAGGACCAAGAGGGAAACCAGAGCTCCGAGAGAAAACAGCAGAACAAGGGTCAAGAGGGTCAGGAGGGACACCGAGGGTCAAGAGGGAACCGAAGGCAAACANGAGGGAAACGAGGGCAAAGCGGCCCACGAAGGCGAACAAGGATGAACGCGGCCCTTCTTGGACGTTTTGAAATTTCCCCCTTAGACGATTGACCCTCGTGAAATTTTCCGTTTTCCTCTCGGGACCCTCTTGACCCTCGTTCATCTTGTAGCCCTAGTTTCCCCGCTTAAACCTTGTTTCCCTCTTGACTCTCGTTTCCCTCGTAGCCCTCGTTTCCCTCTTGGCCCTCGTTTCTTTGGTAGCCCTAATTTCCCGCTTGGCCCTCCTAGCCCTTGTTTCCCACTTGACTCTCGTTTATCTTGTAGCCCTAATTTCCCGCTTGGCCCCCGTAGCCCTTGTTTCCTACTTGGACCTTGTTCATCTTGTAGCCCTAGTTTCCCGCTTGGCCCTCACTTCCCTCTTGACCCTCGTTGCCCTTGTAGCACTGGTTTCCATCTTGGTCCTCGTTTCCCTCTTGACCCTCGTTCATCTTGTAGCCCTAGTTTTGCGCGTGGCCCTCGTTTCCCTCGTAGCCCTGATTTCCCACTTGACCCTCGTTCCTCACTTGACCCTCGTTTCTTTCTTGACTCTGGTTTCCCTCGCTCTCTTTGTTTCCTGCTTGACCCTTGTTCTCCTGGTTTCTCTCCTAGCCCTCGTTTTCCGCTTGGCCTTCGTTTTTCTCTTGACCCTCCTAGCCTTCGTTTCCCTCGTGACGCTCGTGAGCCCTTTCATGAGCCCTCGCGACATTTGACAAACGACAAAACCTAATTCCTTCACAACGGCCATCAATACAATCAGAATACGGAGACAATACAATCTCAAACGGAGCGCCAGACGTTCTGCGTCCTAAAGGCTGCGCAGTGGTACGTGACGCGGAGTGGGGGACCTGCGGAAATTCCCATTTGAATATTCGATAGGGGCAAAATGCCTATTTTTTCAACTCGTCCAATTTAGTAGGGACGAAATGGANCGTTTTCCGCTTGGCCTTCGTTTTTCTCTTGACCCTCCTAGCCTTCGTTTGCCTCGTGACGCTCGTGAGCCCTTTCATGAGCCCTCGCGACATTTGACAAACGACAAAACCTAATTCCTTCACAACGGCCATCAATACAATCAGAATACGGAGACAATACAATCTCAAACGGAGCGCCAGACGTTCTGCGTCCTAAAGGCTGCGCAGTGGTACGTGACGCGGAGTGGGGGACCTGCGGGAATTCCCATTTGAATATTCGATAGGGGCAAAATGCCTATTTTTTCAACTCGTCCAATTTAGTAGGGACGAAATGGGCACTTGAACTTGCACGATTTAAGGGTTTTTTTCCTCCGTGATGAAATCGTGAAGGTTGAATGGTACAAGTTGAAAAAATACCCATTTTCCCCCATGAAATCGTACGGGTTGAAGAAATACCCATTTTGCCCCCAGCGAATCACGAAAGTTCCCGGAATACTCATTTTGCACAGATGAAATCGTACAAGTTAAGGAACTACCCATTTTGCGTCCATCAAATCGTAAGAGTTGAAGAACTACCCATTTTGCCCCCATCCAATCGTAAAAGATAAAGAAATACCCATTTTGCCCCCATCAAATCGTGAAAGTTCACGGAATTCCCATTTTTCCCCCACTACATCGCAAAAGTTCCCGGAATACCCATTTTTCCCCACTAAATCACAAATGTTCCCGGGATACTCATTTTACCCCCATGAAATCGTACGAGTTAAAGAAATACCCATTTTGCCCCCATCAAATCGTAAAAGTTCACGGAATTCCCATTTTGCCCCCACTAAATCGTAAAAGTTTCTGGAATACCCATTTTGCCCCTATGGAATCGTATGAGTTGAAGAAATACCCATTTTGTCTCCATGAAATCTTACGAGTTGAAGAAATACCCATTTTGCACCCACTAAATGGTAAAAGTTCGCGAAGTACCCATTTCGCCCCCATCAAATCGTGAAAGTATTGGAAAATATATACAATATGAGAGAGGGGAAATGGATTTGGTCATTTAAATTCCCTGAACATGGTCTCTTGGTCTCCCCAAGTATTCCATCATAGTAAACGGAGCGCGATCGGGCCATAGTAAA